TCTATTCTACTCTACTCTACTCCACCCCACCCCACCCCACCCCACCCCACCCCACCCTACCCTACTCTACTCTACTCTACTCTACTCTACTCTACTCTACTCTACTCTACTCTATCATGTGAAATGTTAATACCACTTTATAAGGCCTTGGTAAGACCTCACTTGGAATATTGCATCCAGTTTTGGTTGCCACAATATAAAAAAGATGTTGAGACTCTGAAAAGGGTGCAAAAAAGAACAACAAAGATGATTAGGGGGCTGGAGGCTAAAACATATGATGAATGGTGGCGGGAATTGGGTATGTCTAGTCTAGTGAAAAGAAGGACCAGGGGTGACATGATAGCAGTTTTCCAATATTTGAGGGACTGCCACAAAGAAGAGGGAGTCAAGCTGTTCTCCAAAGCACCAGAAGGCAGGACAAGAAACAATGGGTGGAAACTAATCAAGGAGGGAACCAAACTAGAATTAAGGGAAAATTTCCTGACAGTGAGAACAATTAACTAGTGCCGTAGTGGCGAACCGCAGAGCCCTCTCTGTGGGCATGCGCGCCGTCGCCCCAGTCCTAGGCCTTCAGCTGGGTTTTATAAAACCTTTTTGCTTCAGGCCTCCGCTGCCGTGTGCAAGGAAAAAAAAGGTTCAATCAATCAATCAATTTCAACTTCTCGCAGGAAAAAAAAAAGATCTCGCAAAGTTGGAATTGATTGATTGAACTTTTTAGTCCCACCCAGTCTGCCGTTACCACCGCAGCCACACCCACCCAATGGGCCACACCCACCCAATGGGCCACACCCACCCAGTTGGCCACGCCCACCCGGCACCTGACGATACATAAGTGGGTTTTGGGTTGCAGTTTCGGCACTCGGTCTCTAAAAGGTTCACCATCACTGAACTAGTGGAACGGTTTGCCTTCAGAAGTTGTGGGCGTCCCATCACTGGAGGGTTTTAAGAAGAATTTGGACAGCCATTTGTCTGAAAGGATATAGGGTCTCCTGCTTGAGCAGATTAGAAGATCTACAAGGTCTCTCAACTCTGTTATTCTGTTACTTCTGTATGTTATTTAGGGAATGTTATAACACCAAGAACATACAATTATGGCATGCTATGTTCTACGCTTGTTCCTTGTTGTCAGTCTACAAGACAGACCAGACTAAGAAGCCAATAAAAATATACGTCTGGATTACTTTCATTGTAACAGCTATAGGAACAGAGTCTTCATGTGAACTTGTCCGAGATGTTTCTCAAGTTATTGCTTTGGCCCAGGCTTAAGCTCCACTTATCTGATCATTGTCTTGTTAGCAGCTCTTTCCCCTGTCCGTCAAGCCATTCTTTATGTCCTTAGTGCTTGCATACACGAAGACACTCGACATTTTATTGCAAGCCTCATCTGATGTCTATGGAGATTCTCAGTCATCCGGGTTCATAGTTGTTCCAAAGATGCTTTTTCACGAAGAAGCGAAACGTCTTCAAAGAAAAAACAAGAAAGTCCAGTTGCCTCATGAAAAAGCATTTTTGGGACAAGCTTCATCTGATGCTTTTCCCTTAGTCCACGTGCCAGAGGAAATAAGAGAATTGTTCTGAGTGCCCTGGAGAAAGACGAGACGGGCAGGTGATGATCGTAAGGGAAACTCCTATGTCAGCGCTGCTAATATTGTATATTCTTGCTTTGACAAAATATGCAGAACTGTCTGGTATTTTTAGAGTTAATGCAGAGGAGAAGGAGGGAGGAGGGAAAAGCCCGCAAAAGAGAAAGGAAGGGAACCTTTGCCCTTCACACTAATTGGAGAACGTAAATCATGACAACAAAATAGGGAGTGGAAATGCTAGCAAAATAACTGCTCGGTGGGTGGGGATTTTAGATCTTAGCATCCCTTCGTTATGCCGTGCCGACATTTTGTAACATAATAAAAGACTTTTAGGAAAATCAATGCCTGGAAGTTCTNAAAGAGAAAGGAAGGGAACCTTTGCCCTTCACACTAATTGGAGAACGTAAATCATGACAACAAAATAGGGAGTGGAAATGCTAGCAAAATAACTGCTCGGTGGGTGGGGATTTTAGATCTTAGCATCCCTTCGTTATGCCGTGCCGACATTTTGTAACATAATAAAAGACTTTTAGGAAAATCAATGCCTGGAAGTTCTTTGAAGTGTTTCATTAGCCGGAACCATGACATCCTACTTGCAACCTCAGTTGTAACTGATTTTTCTTTTGTGTCTGATTAGATACCGTCGCAGCTATGACTCTGATTTCACAGCTCCACTGGTGGCTTACCATGTCTGGCCAGCTCTGATGGAAGAGGATTCAGTGGTTGTGAAGGGAGAAGCTGTAACTAAAAGAGGTGCTCTGGTAGGCTTTTAAAATTTTTTTAAACAGAGAGCTCTCCATTGGGGGCCACGTGCCACAGGTGGTATTAAAATAGGAGATTCTGAAAGGGATGATCAAAAAAAGTCACGATGGTTTACAGTTATGATACCGAGCTTATTGTTTAACCGTATTTGCTCCAAAGGAAATCTAGGATTTAAGACAACTGCATGGCGACAAAAAGGAAGAGTTAGGCTGAAAAAGAGAACAACTCACACAGAAATCCCAGCAATGCTCAACTTTCCTCCTTTTTAGTCTTCTTTCCACTTGTTCCTGGGGAGGAAAGCTATGGCAAATCTAGACAGCATACTAAAAAGCAGAGACATCACCCTGCCAACAAAAGTGCGTATAGTCAAGGCCATGGTTTTTCCAGTTGCAATGTATGGCTGTGAAAGTTGGACCATAAGAAAGGCTGAGCGACAAAGAATTGAGGCCTTTGAACTATGGTGCTGGAGAAGACTCCTGCGAGTCCCCTGGACTGCAAGGCGATCAAACCGGTCAGTCCTAGAGAAGATCAACCCTGACTGCTCTTTAGAAGGCCAGATCCTGAAGTTGAAACTCAAGTACTTTGGCCACCTAATGAGAAGGAAGGACTCACTGGAGAAGAGCCTGATGCTGGGAAAGATTGAGGGCGATAGAAGAAGGGGACGACAGAGAATGAGGTGGCTGGATGGAGTCACTGAAGCAGTAGGCTTGAGCTTAAATGGACTCCAGAAGATGGTAGAGGACAGGAAGGCCTGGAGGAACGTTGTCCATGGGGTCACGATGGGTCGGACACGACTTCGCAACTAACAACAAAAATCTACTTTCACCTTCCCACTTATTGTGTGTGTGTGTATACAGGTCGTCCTCGACTTACAACAGTTTGTTTAGTGGCCGTTCACTAGTGGCACTGAAAAAAGTGATTTATGACCGTTTTTCACAGTTACGACCTTTCCAGCCTCCCCATGATCATGTGATCAAAATTCAAATGCTTAGCAGCTGGTTCATATTTATGACCGTTGCTGTGTGCCAAGGTCATGGGATCCCATTTTGTGACCTTCTGACGAGCAAAGTCAATGGGGAAGCCAGATTCACTTAACAACCAGATTACCAGCTTATCAACTGCAGTGATTCACTTAACAACCGAGGCAAGAAAAGTCGTAAAATGGGACAAAATTCACTTAACAAATGTCTCACTTAACAACGGAAATGTTGGGATCAACTGTGGTCGTAAATTTGAGGACTACCTGCACTATATAATACTGATAGGTACCTTCAAAAAACACATACCGAGAAAGACGAGCCCAGAACCAAAAGACAAATGAATATTAACTGAATTAACAATGGCTATTAAAATGTTCTGTTTATAAAATTAAGGGATCCCACAGCTGCAGGTATCAACCAATCTCTAATCCCACATTAACCACTCTCACAAAACAGTCAGGTGGACAGACATACATAGACTACAAACCCCAGAATTCCATGTGAGCTGGGAATCCTGGTGATGGGGAATTCAGTATATTTGGAGGGTATCAGCTTGGAAAAGTGTAATATACGCTGAGTTCAGGTCTTATTTGCTAAGCTGCAACACAGTTCCTTTGGTTTTGGCTCAATGTGTTGTTTGAACTCAGATATTTGGGTTTATACATTTGCTTTGGTATGATCTATGAATCCAGTGAATTGTGACTTATTCAGCAAGCCGTGGTGGTTAAGCAGAATTTGCCAATTGGATTACCTCCTGAGGTAACCGTGAACCTCCAGAGATGTTTTATGGACCTTTCCTTCAGGGTCTAAATCAGCAGTACTCTGGGTTTTACTGTACATTACACTTTGTTTTGGTTTCTGATCTGGAAGGGATAGGGAACTATGGTGCAGAATTTGGGAAGAATGGTCTGAGAAGATTTCCGGTTGTGTCTGAGCTGCAAAAAACTGGATGAACCCTCAACTGCCATATTGTGGCTTGATTAGGAGCAAATGGGATAGAAGGAGGATAGACAAATAAAGGCCAAAAGAAAGATATAGAATTTGCTGCTTCCCTATCACTGGCTGAGATTTGCTGCTTCCCTATCACTGGCTGAGATATATATAGGTATACTCTGTATATAGATATAGAGCAGGGGTCTTCAAACTTGGACTTCAACTCCCAGAGTTCCTCAGCTAGGCACGCTGGCTGAGGAATTCTGGGAGTTGAAGTCCACAAGTGATAAAAGGGCCAAGTTTGAAGACCCTTGATTTAGAATTTCAAATGGAAGGCTGAAATTTTAAAGCCTCTTGCTAAGAGAGAAATTCCAGATCATTTGCATGCTATGATTAGGATTGGAGTCTGGAATGTGTTGGAGCACTACTTCCCAACCTTCACAGCTTTCAGATGTGTGTTCAATTCCCAAGGGTGTTAGCAATGACCAATCTGGATGGGGACATATGGAAGTCGGAGTATCCAGAGAGTAGGATAAAAAAAAATCAAGATAGCACATAAAAATAGGCAGAGCTTTAATTTCTCTGTCCAAGGTGTCATCTTGATTGTTTCGATTCCACTTTGGGGGCCCTTCTGTTGGAAACCGAAGTTGCCATTTCTGGAAGTGACAAAATTTGCCGATTCCTGCTAGACCAGGGGTAGACAACCTTGGCTCTTTTATGACTTGTGGACTTCAACTCCCAGAATTCCTGAGCCAGCCATGCTGAGGAGAAAGGGAGAGGTTTCCAAGCTGAGCCATGCTGGCTCAGGAATTCTGGGAGTTGAAGTCCACGAGTCATAAAAGAGCCGAGGTTGCCTACCCCTGTGCTAGACACTAAAACCAAATGAGTCTTTTCTTCCACAGTAGTCTCCTTGCCCTTCTGCAAAGTCTACTCATTAAAAGGATCCCTGCTTAACTGAGATCTGTTTCATGGTTTGTGTTTTATTTCAGTTGTCTTCCAGGAGCAGAAACAGGAGCCACAGTCGCAGCCGTAGTGTTAGCCCTCTGCCTCGTGGTACAGGCTACTCTCGGCATTTGGTAAAGTAACACAAACCGATTAACGTAGTAGTTCAAAATAAGATGCATTTCCTGTCCCATGCAGAGAAGGTTGCTGGATTCCACTTGAAACAGGCAGAATAAACTCAGTGGATAAGTCATACAAAATTACTTTATTCCAGGCATCCTCAAGACATTAACTCACAGTTATTGTAGAAGTTCTTCCAGAATGTAGATTGTAATCTGGACCCATCTCATAGGTAAAAGAATAATGGATTTCCCCATTCTACGTAAATCTTACATGCTCTTATGGAGCTCCTAGCCTAGCTGTGTGGCTAGGATTCATGGAGAGAGCTAATAAAAAACCTGGCACGTAACAGGATATCTCGTAATAAACCACAGGACCCTCCTAGTGGCCAGTTAGAACACAGATATAACCATGTAACAACTAAACTACATTTCCCAGAAGGCTACCCTTAAGGGGGGGTAGCACTTTAACCCTTAAAATGCTACTTGCTCTACACACAGTTTCCTAAGCTAGCTATACACTCTGGCCAGATGGTTACATACTGGTCCAGCACAATGCATATCCAGGAGTTTGCACTGAAGGCCTCATTAATTATTATTATTTTTAACAAGAAGAGACAACTCAAAATACGGGGCTGAGAGATAGGGAGACGGTGTGGTTAAAAACACTCTGATTATGTGCACAGAGCTATTGTACTTCCTCAGTCTCATAGCTTGTAAAACAGGCGAGAAACCCAACCCCCATTTGTGGTCCCTAACCCTAAAACCTGAGGGGTGTCAATTCAGTGGTAAGGAAAAAACAAATAAGAGAGGAAGAGGAATACCTAAAGACCACTTTAAGCTACCTCCACTAGGGTTTGGGATAAGGCAAAGGCCAAGATTATGAGGACCATTCCATAGGAAAATGATTGACATGATGATGAGTCATAGGGATTTATAGAAGTCCACTAAACTCCAATACTCATTTATAGCTCAACTCTCACAGATTTTGGCAACTGATAACTCAAAGCAGGTCAGTGATCATTTTTACAATCTTTGATGGCCTCATAGCCTCATAGAAATGATTTATCTCTCCAACTAGCAGGAAGCTGTAAACTTTGGAATGAGGCCACCCAAGATTGAAAATAGTAATCCAAGCCTTACTTTCAAAGATCTCCCTCTGAGACAGGGGTGTCAAGCTACAATTCTGCGGGCCGGATGCGTCATGGCGAAACCGCGCCCGCCCCATTGCCGGCAATGGGGGAAAAAAAGTCACGACACGTCACGTGACGTGGCGAGTTTGACACCCCTGCTCTAAGAGATCAAAGAAGCATCACCCAAGTTTGCCCCAATCCAGCCTCACATACTTTGAAACCTTCGCCCCTTCTTCAAAGTTTGTTTGTGGCTCTTGGTGACCCAAGGTTGACTCTTCTTACTACAGGCAAAGTAGAGGAGCTTTGGAAGGTGATGGCTTGTTCAATTCTAAGTGCAAAATTATTGTTTTTTCTTCTGGGTTCAATGGTTTAGGCAAGAGAGCTGCACCTTCATTGGTCCTGGAGGAGCTAGAAAAAGTATAGGAAGTTTCTTAATGGGGAGCTACAATACATGGTCTCATCCAGCGGTGTGGCCTTCTAAGCGATGTGATGATGATGATGATGTGAGGCCACTTGGGACCTGAGACTCATGATAGCACATTATTCTCTTTAACACAGCTGTCTGGTAGGGCTAATGGACAGTAGTGGCCAAAATTGTGGAAACCTTTTGGGAAAAGTGTATTTTTGAGGTTTGATGGCTAATAACACCACTTTTTTTGGAGTAGTACCATAAAATTATATATCAATAGAAATATAATTTAATCAAGAATGTAATGCAACAAAGTTTGTTCAATTATCTGTACTGTAGTCTATGAAAAGTTATAGCCAAATAGCCAGAAAAAGGAAGCACAACTTGCTTAGGTTGATATCAGGTAGCTTTCCTTCCTCCGATTGTAGCCAATGAGCACAAGTGTTTAGAGAGCCAATCAGGTGTCATCCTGTTTTGGCAATGAGCCAATCAGATCACATTAGGATTCAGTTATTGATGTCATGTATTGAAGCCGAGAGGAGGACATTTGTCAGTGTGTTATGTGATCGCTATCAAGTTGGTTGGGATTTTTTTGTGTTCTTTCATTGAGTGAGCTTGTAAAACGTAATAAAATTAAAGTAATGGTG